CTTATTGTTTACTGTGTGATCAATGATTTTAACAGGGCTGTGATGCTTCGGTTTTGCTGAACAACACTGCTACTATCGTAAGCGAACAACAAGCATTTCCAAATAACAACTCTTTAAGAGGTTTAGATGTTGTAAATCAGATCAAAACCGCCATAGAAAAAGCTTGTCCCAACACTGTTTCTTGCGCTGATATTCTTGCACTTTCTGCTCAAGCTTCTTCTGTTCTGGTATATTACATAGCTTCTTCAAATGAAATTTTAATCATATTGATTACTTCACTTCAAATATACTTCATATATTACAGGCACAAGGTCCTAGTTGGACAGTTCCTTTAGGAAGAAGAGATAGTTTAACTGCAAACCAAACACTTGCTAATCAAAATATTCCAGCTCCATTCAACTCATTAGACCAACTTAAAGCTGCATTTGCCAAACAAGGCCTTAATACTACTGATCTAGTTGCTCTCTCTGGTGCTCATACATTTGGAAAAGCTCATTGCTCTTTATTCGTTAGTCGATTGTACAACTTCAGCAATACTGGAAGCCCTGATCCGACTCTCAATACAACTTACTTAACACAGTTGCGCACAATATGTCCCAATGGTGGACCTGGCACGAACCTTACCGATTTTGATCCAACGACTCCAGATAAATTCGACAAGAACTATTACTCGAATCTTCAGATTGAAAAGGGATTACTCCAAAGTGATCAAGAGTTGTTCTCAACATCTGGGGCAGATACCATTAGCATTGTCAGCAAATTCAGTGCAAATCAAAGCGCTTTCTTTGAGAGCTTTAAGAGTGCAATAATCAAAATGGGCAACATTGGTGTGTTAACTGGGAGCCAAGGAGAGATTAGAAAACAATGTAACTTTGTTAATTCAAAATCCGCAGAACTAGATATAGGCACTATAGAGTCTATTGATTCATCACAGGAGGATGGTATTGTTAGCTCAATATAAATAAACTAGGATCATTAGTGGCCTCTATGTCACTTGAAATCCTATGCTTTGTATGTGAGAGAACATGATCTTGTATTATGAGTACTCACATTAATATATCATTGGTTTCAATGTAAATATTTTTAGAGTCCTATAGTCTTCAGAAAACTCTTCGGAGAATAGGAGGTGGGAGCCGGTAAATTTCACGGTGCCAAAATCAGAGTCATTCCACAAGGAATGTTGGAAATCCACCAATACACTATGATGAATTTCGACCACCACTGATGATAAGTTATGAAACAAACAAAAAAGAACAATGGAGATATTTCTGCAGAATTTCTATTCTGCCCACAAACTGTGGAATCTTTACTAATTCACTTTGCAACTGCAAAATACTGTGAATGAGTTCAATGACTTGAATACAAAATAGGGGTTACTCCCTCTATTTATAGATTTAGGTTAGCTTGCTCCCTAAGCTAAACCCAAGCCCAAAATATCTCTTTACTAAATCAAATCTAATCTAGATTTAAATTCAAATCTATTTAAATCTAAACAAATCAAATCTTCTTTTAACACCTATGAATTACAATTTAACACACCACCTAATTCATTGTGTCAATCAAGAACGATTGAAGAATTCACGATGACAAGTTATGGGAATGCAAACTATCCAGCAACGCTACCAATTCTGAAAGTTGACAACTATGAGAATTGGTGCAAAGTATAGGGCAGTTGGTCGAAAAGAATTATAAAGTGTCAATCGAAGATAAGATGATGAGAGTCGTTGATGAAAATGGGAGATTAATCTTGAAGGCTCATATGTCTCAGAATCGAACCTTCAAGATTGAACTAAATGTGATGGAGCACAAGTGCCTTTCGACTGCAGCTAGTAGAGATGAATGGATATGGCGTTATAGACTAGGCCATCTCAACTTCAGAGACATCAGAGATTTGAAGAGAAGAAATATGGTTTCAGGATTGCCAGAAATTGACATTCCAAATGAGGTATGTGAGGAATGTCTGCAGGCGAAGAAACACAAGAATAGCTTCACCAAGGATGCAGGAAGCAGATCAAAGGCTAGTCTTTAAGTCATATACTCTGATGTATGTGGACCAATCCAGGTGGATTCGATGGGAGGTAACAAATACTTTGTTACATTCATAGATGATTTCAGTCGAAAGCTATGGACTTACTTGATCAAGAAGAAAAGTGAAGTGATCGAAGTATTTACCAATTTTAAGTTTATGGTCGAAAGACAAAGTGGTCGAAAGCTCAAAGTTTTGAGAACTGATAGTGGTGGAGAATATGTGTCGAAAGACTTCGACAGATTATGTGAAAAGGAAGGGATTGTGCATGAGGTAGTGCCACCCTATACTCCACAACAAAATGGAATTGCAGAAAGGAAAAATCGAACCATCATGAATATGGTGAGAAGTATGTTGAAAGGCAAGAATTTACCTAAAGAGTTTTAGGGTGAAGCTGTTTCGACTGCAACATACATTTTTAACAGATGTCCTACAAAGAAGCTAGAAGAATTACTCCAGAAGAATGTTGGTCTGGTGTGAAGCCTAGCTTGAGTCATCTGAAGGTATTTGGATCTATTGCACATAGACATGTGCCAGATCAGTTGAGAAGAAAACTTGATGATAAGTCAAGTCAAATGATTCTAGTTGGATATCATTCGACAGGAGGCTACAAGTTGTTCGATCCAGTGAAAAAGCAGATTGTGATCAGCAGGGACGTGATCATAGATGAGTTTAAAGAATGGGATTGGATTGAAAATATCAAGAAAGATTCAATGGGAATCCTTCTTGAAGAGCCAGAAACTCAAGTCGAAAGAGAAGTTCGACAAGAGGAACCAGCAGATATACCAAGTACAAGCAGGCCTCAAAGAATAAGACGCATGCCTGCAAGATTGCAAGATTGTGTGATTACATCAGATGATGTAATAGATAATGAAGGTGAGCTGGTACATTATGCTTTCTATGCAGATGTCGAACCCGTTAATGCAGCTGAAGCATTAAAGGATTCGAAGTGGGTGAAAGCAATGAACGAATAAGTAAAGTCTATCGAAGATAACAACACTTGGTCACTTGTCGAATTGCCTCAAGGAAAGAAGGCAATTGATGTCAAATGGGTATACAAAGTGAAAACGAATTCGAAAGGTGAAGTAACTCGACACAAAGCAAGACTTGTGGCGAAAGAATTTCTACAGAAAGAAGGAATAGACTTCGATGAAGTTTTTGCACCTGTTGTTAGGATCGAAACAATCAGGTTGGTTGTTGGTCTAGCAGAAATAAACAGTTGGCACATATGTCAGATGGACGTGAAGTGTGAATTCGTAAATGGACCCTTAGATGAAGAAGTCTATGTTAAACAACCAGTTGGGTTTGTGAAACATGATGAAGAAAGAAAGGTGTACAGGCTACATAAAGCCCTGTATGGATTGAAACAAGCTCCAAGGGCTTGGAATAAGAAAATTGATAGTTTTCTAAGGGAGAAGAAATTTCTGAAGTGCACAACTGAACATGGAGTATATGTAAGAAGAAGCAAGAGTAAATTGCTTATACTATGTCTCTATGTAGATGGTTTGTTGATAACAGGTAGCTGTAAAAGTGAGATCGAAGACTTCAAAGGTGATCTCAGCAAGGAATTCAAAATGTCTGATTTGGGTGAGATTTCATATTTCCTTGGTCTCGAATTCTACAAGAGCAGTAGAGGTTTGATGATGCATCAAACAAGATATGCAGGAGAAATTCTCAAGAGGTTTGAGATGGAAGAATTCAACTCAACTTTGACACCTGCAGAACCAAGACTACAACTTTCGAAAGATGCATATGAAGATGATGTTGATCCAACCTAATATAGAAGACTTATTGGATCATTGAGATACCTTTGTCATACAAGGCCTGACTTAGCATATAGTGTAGGTATGGTAAGTAGATTCATGCAGAAGCCAAATGTATCACATCTAGCAGCAGTGAAGAGGATACTAAGGTATCTCAAAGGAACTTTCGATCATGGCATTTTGTTTCCTGCAGTTGATAAAGGAAAAGAATGCAAGTTAGTGGGATACACTGATTCGAGTTGGTGTAGTGATGTTGAAGATCTAAAGTCAACAGCAGGATATGTGTTTATGCTAGGTGGTGCACCAGTTTCTTGGAATTCAAGAAAGGAACCAGTAGTGGCATTATCATCATGCGAAGCAGAATACATAGCTGCTTCTCTTTGTGCATGTCAAGCAACTTGGATGGTGAACTTGGTCGAAGAGATAAGAGGGAAAAATCATGGAGCAATTACCATGAAGATAGACAGCATGTCAGCTATTAATCTGGCGAAGAACCCAATAGCACATGGTCGAAGTAAGCACATCGAAATGAGGTTCCATTATCTTCGAGAGCAGGTAGCAGACAGGAAGATGAATTTGGAACACTGCAGAACTGAGAATCAGATTGCAGACATCATGACGAAGGGAGTGCAAGTCGAAGTATTCAGAAAACTAAGAGCCATGATGAACATAGATAGTTTAGACACAATGAATTAGGTGGTGTGTTAAATTGTAATCCAATGTGTCAAAACTATGTGTCGAAAAGATTTGATTTGTTTTAGATTTAAATAGATTTGATTTAAGTCTAGAATAAATTAGATTTGATTTAGTAACAAAAAGATATTTTGGACTTTGGGCTTAGGGTGTAAGCTCAGTTATAAATAGAGGGAGTAACCCCTATTTTTGTAAGCAAGTCAAGCAAGTCATTCACAGTATTTTGCAGTTACAAAGTGAATAAGAAAGTTTTCACAGTTTGTGTGAGCAGAGAGAAACTCTGTAGAAATTATTTGTCTTGTCTTCTTTTCTTTGTTTGTCTCGTAATTAAATTGTTATTGTGGTAGAAATTCATCATAGACTTTGGTGAGTTTCCAACACAACGAAGGTTTGGAGGGAAATCGAAAGAATTTAACAAAGGTTTGTCGACGAGATACAGTAACATCCATCATATAATTCTGTCTACTGATAGTACCAGATCCAAAAGAAAAGTTTCCAACTGGTGGAAGGATTTAACTATGGTTGGTTATGTGTGTGAATGTGTAGGTAATATCAGTATTGTGGTGGGAAATGGTCGGTGGGTACCGTTTTGGACAACGTCTTGGCATAACAATTCTCCCTTCAGCGCGTCGTTTCAGGAATTGTATTGCTTGTCCTCTAAGAAAGATTGGAACATCGAGGATATGGGGCAATGGAATGACAACGAGTGGAATTGGGGGAATTTCGGGTTGTCTTCAGATTCAGAGGCAATTTTTTGCAACCTTATTTCTGACCTACTATGTGTTCTGGAACAGGTGCATGTTAATAGAACTGAGTCAGATGTTTTCCTTTGGAAACCGAATACGGCAGAAGGATACATAGTTAGGGAGGGATATGGTTGTTTATGTGAAGAGTTAAATAAAGAGAACAAAAAATAAGGATCGTCATAGGCTTTTGTTTCTCTATGGAAAACGTTGTTTCATTTTGCATTAAATCGTTTGGCTGAAGGGCGTTTCTTGACAGGTTACCTTCCAAGTCCCAATTGAAGAAGAGGAACATTTTGAATCTGCATCATGATTTTTCTTGTGTTTTTATGTTTGTAAGCTAAAGAATCTTTCCATCATTTATTCTCTTGTAAAGAGTCATTTAAATGATTAATTTAAGTTTTGGTTGGTTACAAATTTTCTCCTTATAATTGATTTTGACCGTTTTTTTCTATAATCGGGTTTGAGTATCCCTGATACTCAGATTATATATTCATTGCTTAAAAAAATTAAAATACCAAAATTAAGAGACAAATCAGCCGGTAATATATTTTCTACATAGTTTATGCTAAATCCACATGTAAATAAATAAAAAATTATTAATAGTTAAACTGAATGGGAAGGAGGTCTAAAAAGGGCAAGCCACATTATTTTTGGGAATGTGGTATTTTAAAAAAATCAAAAGTATGGCATTTTAGAAGAGTCATTAACACAAGCAAATTGTGATATTTTGAATTTAAAGAAAATTTGTGCCACCCACGTTTAAGTTGATGCATAACTATTTGATATAGGCACAAAGGAATCTTCGATGTGGTTCACACAAATAGCTAGTTGTACTATTTACATTTACACCTGTAATTTTTTTGTCAAATTTTTGCACCTTAAACCCCTAATTATTGCTGGGTAATGTTCTCACATTTCATTGCAACCACAAGACAATACAGTACTGGCAATTTGTCCGTCCGTCTTGTATGCTTGCTAGTCTAGTGAGACTTCAACTTTTCCCTCAAGTGTGAGTCAGTGAGTCACAATGCTTCCCCTCCCACTTGTCCATCTAAAACCCTAAGGTGATAGATGAGTGAGTTCTTTCATATATAAGTGTTCAATCTTCCATTTTATAATCAATGTGAGACTTCTTCCTCACACTTGATTCTCAACAGTTACTATGTGTTAAAGCACACTTATCACTTTATTTCATAACTCTCGCGTTCAAGCCAACAACAAGTCAAATAGAGTGTGTTCAAATAGTTTAAAGTTTCATCCTTGCTCACACCTCTCATAGATGTTTGATCAAATAGTCACTTTATGTTTGATCTTTGCACAGCTCTCATATATGTATGTTGTCCACACACCAGCAAAATTTATCTCTGTCTAGATTTCGTTTACTTGTGACCTAACTAAATTTTATAAATTTTTTCTAAAAATTTAAATTTTGGGTGTTTTTAAAAATAATCAAAATTGCTTTAGATTCATTTATTTATAATTTTTATACTTAGTAAATTATTTATTTATTATTAAGATTTTAACTTCCTAAAAATAATATAATTTTAATAATAATAATATATTTAAAAAAAATGTTATAAAAAATTATTCAAAATAACTTTGAATGTAAATAGTTTTTTGAAATGTTGATATTCTAAAACTTAAACACAAATATGTAATATTATAAATATGTTGTATTAAAATTAATTTTCTATTAACTGTGTGTTGCTGTTTTTGTGTAATTGTTCATTAATTAATACTTCCTCTATTATATGTTATAAACAAATTTTATCTTTTTATATAGAATAATCAATATATCTATTTATATATAAATCAAATATATTAGTTATTTAATAAATTTATAAAACTAAAATTTATTTATAATATGAAAAAGGAGGGAGCACGTCTTATAAGACTCAAGTGTGTGTAAGGTCAAATTCTTCAAATAATTGCTCATATTTAAAAACATTAGATACTACATTAATTTTAGGGAACGTGTGGGGTTCTAGTTTTATATAGGGGTGTTTTAAACTAAAGTTGTTTAATAGAAAATCGCAAAATTAAATTGAATTAAATTAAAATCGTAAAAAGTCGTATTTCATTCAGATGCGTTTGAGTTATTTTCTAAAGGAATCGCACGGTTCGATTCGATTTGTGATTTGTATTTTGCAAATCAAATCAAACTAAACAAAACCGTATTACGTTATAAAATCTTACTGATTAATATTTTTTTTTAATTCTTTAAAAAAATCAACATATATTATGTGTATATTTTATTATACTTTATATGCTATTTATTTTAATTTACAAATCATAAAATAATAAAATATTATTCACTTATAAATACTATTTTCACAAAATATATTTTATTATATTTTTTATATAATATTTATTTAAAAATGCAATTTTGTCTATATCATTTTTTTAAGATTAGATAAAATTATAATACACAATTTTATGTATTTTGATAATTATAATTTCTTTTATGGTAATGTATGAACAATTAAATACAAAATTAAATTTTCCTCTATATGTGTACGTATGATTTAATAATTTTTTTTTTGTAAAAATCGAATCAACCGAATAAATCCAAACCGCATTAGTTTGGTTTGGTTTGGTTCGAATTTATTTTTAAAAGTTAACTGAACCAAACCGAACTACATATTTTTTTCTCTTGCGGTTCGGGTGATTTTTTATTTAAAAATCGTCCAAACCTCACCGCAAACATCCCTAGTTCTATGCAATTTTTTTAAAAATAATAAAAAATGTTAATTTTAATGATAAAATTAATTATAATTATTAAAATATATTTATTTATTATAGTTAATAGAATAGTTAAAAAACGCAAAAGCTAATAAATAAGAGTGTAGTAGTAAAAAAAAGTGTTGTACTAGTATTTTAAAAAAATATTTATTTTTAGATATAAAAAAATAGAAATGAGACATTTATTATAAAACGGAACGAATATGTATTTTAGGAAAAAATTTCACATCAGAAATCAATTAAATTTGTTTGATTTAGTTTTTAAAAATTCTTTTTTAGTTTAAAATTTAAAATTTTAAAAATTTAAAAATTTGTTTGTAAATTTAGTTATATAAATTATTTTATAAAATTATTTTCTATTTATGAAATTTAAAAATTTAAAAACTAAACTAGATTTTAAATATTTTGTTTTTAGTTTAGAAAAATGATAAGAAAAAAAGGAAAAATGATATAACTTTTATTAATATCGAATTTGTAATATTGTATAATTTTGAAATTTTTCGATATTGTTATATGAAAACAATTGTGTCAAAATCATAAATAAATGCGTAAATAATATTTTCAATATTTTTTTTATATTTTCTTATTATTATATTTTTTTTATTATTTTGGTAATAAAAAAATAATAACCTTTTTTATTTTTCATTCTTTTTTTTATTAATTGAATCTATTTTATATATCATTCTACTTGAACATTTTTAAAGAGAAAATGTGATTTGCTTTTCAAATTAAAATAATAAGAGGGATTATATTTGAGTTATAAAATTAAAAGAATATTCAACCGTATAAAATACACAATTAACTAATTTATTTGTCAATAAAAAAATAGTTTAAAAACTCAAACTCAAAATTTATACATATTACAGGTTTGAACTATTTCAAAAACAGTATACAATTATGCGCACTTATATGCATACAAAATTCATATTTATTTTACTTTTGTAATAATGTTAGGTATATACTAAATACTCATCTAGTAGATACACATATTAAGATAATTAATGTAAAATAAAGTGAATTAGATGTTAATAAAAACATTCTAGTATCTAACCAGCATATATAAATATAATTGTCTCAAAAAATATTATAAAATATATTTCACATTTAAGTTTAATATAATAAATATTATATTAAAAATATGTTCAACTATTTCAAAATTAAAATATATCATCTTTAAAACAGTTTTCAAAAATAAAATGATAAAATATATTTTTTCCTTCAAAACACTTTTTAAAATTAACTTACAAAATACTTTTTAAAAACTATAAAATTATATGATTAATTTTTTTAGGTATTTCAATTTCTTATTTTATTTGATTTTAAAATTTTATCCATGGTCGAATAATTCTCTTTTTAAGTATAATTCAAATATTTAAAGATAATTGTTGGAAAAAAATTGTTACTAGTAAATATTTTTTAACACACTTTTCTTCTTTAAGTAAATATTATTTACAATGTGATCAATAATTTTAAAGGGGCTGGGATGCATCGGTTTTGTTGAACAATGTTAGTGCGTGAGACACTTTTAGTAAAAAGAGGAAGAGAGAATAATAAAAGAAATAAGGATTTATATTATTGAATTGTACAAATAATTATACACACTATGGCTATTTATATACAATCTTAATTGGATTTGGGCTAACATAACTTGGATTATATTTAAATATTAAATCTAATCAAATCTAATCTAATCTAATATTTTAACAAATCTAATTTAATATTTCAACACACCCCCACAATCCAAGTTGTCGAACATCCTCAAAAATAATCAATCTGAACTATTCCTAATTTCTTTCTCAAATTCAGAGAGTTGTCGATCTTCAATCCTTTGGTGAAAATGTCGGTCAACTGTGCTTCACCTGAGCAATGCCTAACTTCAAGTTCACCTTGATTTACTTTTTCCTTGAGGAAGTTTGCTTCAATATGTTTACTTCTTCCATACATAACTGGATTCTTCGCCAGATTTATGGCTGACTTGTTGTCGATTTGCTATACTAAAGGTTTCTTCACTTCAACTGTCATTTCTTCAAGTACATATCTGATCTAAATTGCTTGACATGCAGCATAGGATCCTGCTATATATTCAGCTTTACACGATGACAATGCCACCACGGGTTGCTTCTTCGAACACCATGAGATTGGGGCACCAAATACTTGAAAAAAATATCCACTTGTGCTTCTTCGATCTTCCTTATCTCCACACCAATCAACATCTGGAAAAAAAATTAACTATTGTTTCTTTGCCTTCAGAATCTCGTCGAAATAGTATTCCACAATTTATTAAACCCTTCAAATATCTCGGGATTCTTCTTGAAGCCTTCATATATGACACTCTTAATTCACCCATATATCGGCTTACTGATCCGACTGCGAAACCTATATTAGGTCGACTGTTGCACACATACCTCATAGATCCCAAAATTTGCTTG